GAATGATAACTATCAGATTGTAAGAATAACACCTTGTACTCAATTAATCTAGAACATCAGATCGAATGGTTTAGCTATCTTGTTATATAGCAGCATCAAATGCCATGACGGGCACTACATATCAACAGATTAGCTACAAGATCGACAATATTAAAGATACTTTTCGCCTTCACGGCATGACAATGGCCAGTACCAGCTAGGGTGAACTTGCCGCAAATTGTTTCTCCCTACGCCACTAATCGTCAGCAGTAGTTATGGTGACGATGATGATGATGATAAAATGTTGTCGTCGTGTTTTTTTTTCTTGAAAATTGCTTATGCACTTCGCTAATAATACAGCACTTTCTTGATTGAGACGTACTCTTTTTTTTTTTTTTTTTTTTCGTTTTATTTTTACCAGGATGTAATACAATGTCGTGGTTCTCTGTATTTGTCTTGCATTTCTCGGATGGCTTGGCTGATGAATTTGTTCTCTCTCTCTCCCTTTTTTTATTTTTTTTTTTTTTTTAACAGGTTTCACTGCACCATTTATTTATATCTTTCTTGCTCTTCCTCGCGCTTTCTTCCTAGGTTTTCTATTGTAAAAAAACAAAACAAAACATGTCCAATTGTCTCTTCAGCTAGCGCCGTCAAAGACTTTCCTTTTATCAGTCTGTGAATCTTAGCTCTGTCCAGGGCTTCATGCAGGATGTGCCTCTTGTCTACATCTACTCTGATATTTGACTTTGATTGCAGAACTTTGAGACTATCTGCAATAGTAGGCAGTACAAGTATATATTGCACACATACTACAGGGTATCTCTTGTATATCCCAGAATTACCCGCATAGCTCCATTCTGTATGCGTTCAAGTTTCATCAGGCGACTCTTTGATATGGTAGATATGCCAACTGCATAATCTATCACCGACAGGATCACATGCTGGAACATTATGAACAACTTTCTTTGTTCCATGTTCATTGTTGCCATAATCTTGAGAGCATTGAGTCCTTTTTGACATTTCACTGCAACTGCATCTTCATGATCCCTGAAAGACAGGCTTCTATCTAAAATGATACCCAGGTACCTCAGTTTGCTTTCTCTTTTAATGTTACTATTATGAACTGTGAGGTTTTTAACGTTAGCTTTTACAGTTTTATTGTCCAGAGAGCACCACAAAACAGCTTCCTTTTCTGAGTGTGCTCATTTCGGCACACCAGTCAGTCACTTTGTCTACATTTGCCTGGAATCGTGAGCTATCCGTTGCCTATCTCTCCCCTGCTTTTATGCAAGAACATGCAAATGTCAATATTCTTCCAACACCCGGTTAATCAAGTTCTGCAATCATGTTTGTATACACATTAAAGAAGCACTGGTGAAATTGCAGAGCCCTGGGGTAGTCCGGTGGCGATTTTACATGGTTCTGAGGTCCGTGTACCCAGGCGAAGGGCAACCATGCGTGAATGCAGGGCAGCTGGTATCCAGCTCACAAAAGACAGACAAATCCCCTCTCCATGAGTGCAGAAATCAAAATATCATATTTGACTCTGTTGTGGGCATCCTTAAGATCAAGTGCTGCCACAACTGTCTCCTGTCTCTTCTGGAACCCCTCATAAACATCAAAAGCAAAAGTAGCTGCACTGGACCAGGTATCTTACTGTGACCTGTAACTACAAAAACCTTTTGGACGAGCTTTTCCATTTCCAAAAAACATGTGTAGTTCAACAGCAATAATTTTCTCTAGCTCCTTGCCAAACGTATTTTGTAGGGTGATAATCCTTACTCTAGAATGATCTTTGCCTGGTTTTGGAAGTGAGATTAAGTAGCTGAGTAACTATTCCAGGGGTGCTAAAAGCTGTTCTAATGCTCTGGTTGAAGTAAAAAGCCATCTCCCTCACGTCTTCATCACTGATGCTCTTCGTGTGGGCATACCTGACTCTATCTGGCCCCGGCGCAGTGTCCTTTGCGTTTTGCAAAGACTTGTGTAGGGTTCTTATCACGTTAGGTCGTGAGTGCAGAGACTTGCGAGTTGTGGAAGCAGAGGTCTCGGGTAGTTCTTAATTCAACATTCAAGACGCAAACATCTTTCCCATATGGCTCAAGATGGAGATGCCCCCTGCTTGTTTCACAGTCTCGTTTGTCCACTTTATTCTTCCAAATCGGGACAATGATTGCTCTCTGCCAGGTCACTTGGAACCGTTCGTGCCTTACAAGCTATGTTAAAGATTATGGTCAACTAAGCCGTTGCTGGTACCTCACATACAAAGGGAATTTATGTTGTAATACCATCTATTTCAGCTGCCTTTTTTTCCAGTGTCTTTGGCTCATGGTCTTTTGCAGATTTAATTTGGTATGATACTTTGTCCGGGGTTCCACAGTTTAACAGCTCACTGAAAGAATTATGTTCATCTGTTTGTAATATCTTGACTGCTAGTGAATAGTTTCTTACTCTTGGTGTCGATAATATTGGATGGGTGAAAGTTTTTTTTTTTCCTCCGAGTCTCATTGCTTTGACACTTCTGGCGACTCAGTACATGTTGTTTCGATACGTGTTCTCCGTTGTCTGTCCAAGATTCTGATTTTGACGCAATCACTTTCTTTCTGCTGTCTCTTCTCGCTTTTCTAAAGTTGACGTAATTTTCATCGGATTTTGTCGTCTGCCACTTATAGAAACTTTTTGTTTTCTTCTCCAGAATAGAAATGTTTACACCTTCATTCCGCCTCATTGTTTGTGCCCAGCTTGTTGAGGCCGCAGTTCTCTTTCACTGTGCTCAGGATGCAGGTTTGAGACATATTAATTGTTGATAACAAACTGTCATGCTTGCTGTGAAAAATGCCCAAGATGGTTTGAAAATCGTCGTTCGAAAATAGTACGTTTTGGATTCGTCGGGTTAGGCTTCAAAAATATAAAGTTTAAAGGGGAAAATGGTATTATGTGGGCCATTGCACGCGCGTGCACACACACAAACATAGACACACACACAAACGCACACATTTATATATCACTCTGACCGTATGCCTTATATTATAATTTTAAAGGCTCTTACCTCCTGTACAGCAGCCAGTTAAAAATAAAACACAAAAGAAAAAGTGTTATCAATCGAAATAAACAAAGTGTTGAATGGTATTACTTTTACAGAATGGACTGAATTTCATGAATATGTTTATATCATTACCAGAACTTCAGAAAAATCATTTTAGTTAATAACAAATGTTTTAAATCTTTTCGATACAACTGTGTGCGACTAATTTTATTTTCATGAAATGTGACATTTCCTTTGTTTTTCTACATCTGCTCAGACTCAGTACGATTGTTTAAACTGTAGGTTCATTGTCCGTGGTTGTGCACCATACAGCAGCGTAAACTTACACAGTGACAATTCTCATTTTCAACATATTGTTTATATGTCTAGATGTCAGACGTTTCTGCATGCTGCTGAAAATACTTTAGGCCATTCATATTCTGATTTTGACTTCTATTTCACCTCTACCAGCATCTATTATTTTTTATGCTCAAGGTAGGAGAAACTTGTTGGGTGTTTTATCTCAGTTTTAAGTGTGACGTGCAAGTTACAGACTTATTTCTTATCTTTTGTAGCTGCCATTGATAACAGTATTTCTCTACAATTTGTACACGAAAACTTTCTTTCTGAAATAATCTACCCTAGTCTTCTTGTACCCACCCCCCCCCCCCTCCCCCCCTTTCGCCCTCCCAAAGAAAAGAAAGCACCCTTTTTCTTGTAAACGCCGGCCGGCAAATTTAGACAACAAGAGCTAGACCTATATTTCATAGACCAATCCCAGGAATTGATCTAATACAATTTAAGGCAGGCTTGTCCTAGCTACTGAGACAGTATTGACAAAAATCTGGCTCTTTTCGGATTTGAACCCACGAAATTCGGACTAGCCGCCATACCACATCATCTCGCTCCAGACGTATCATCATCATCAAGTGCCTTGCCGACTGGTGTGGGCGATTATGCCTCTGCACAATCTGCGATCCGCAACTGCGTGTATCCATTCGTGTGTTGACACCCCTCCATGCCATGACAAAGATTGTCAAGAATCTTCTCACGCTGTCTTGTTCTTTCTCTCTTTCCGCAGATATTACCACTGCTCACAACATGTTCCATTTTCTGTCTTCTCACACCATGACCCAAAAAATGATGTGCCATAAGGTTCTTACTCCGCCAGATGTTCCACAGCTGAAGTCCTGACACAGTTCTGCACAGTGGAGATACAGATGTGCTTAAGGGACTGGTCTCTAAGTGTTTCGTGCTCACTGACGTGTTTTCAGTTAACTCGTATCCTTTGCCAAGCAAAATTAACTCTATTTGAGAATATTGCTGTGTCATATACATATTTGTTTTGTTAAACATTTAACACTAAACTTGGTAAATATTATTTACGTGTGTGTGAAGCCAACAATAGTGACAGCTTAAATTACTAACATGATCTCTTATCTATTAAGACATTCAAATAACATCAGTTCACCTGGTGAATGAAACCATCACTTTATCTCAACAAGCCACCTTTCTCTCTCTCTCTCTCTCTCTCTCTCTCTCTCTGTCTCTCTCTCTCTCTTTCTCTCTCTCTCTCACACACACACACACACACACGCGCGCGCGCACACACATACACATATGAGAATTCAAAAAGTCACGTGTACGCAAATATATAGGGATCTTTGTTGTATTTTATATGTGAACAATGAATACAACAACGATCTTCATCATGTCACTGGGGTTGAATCAAATGCGAGCACTTGTATTTCTATAGGTGCTCTTTGGATGATGTGGCAAACATTAGGCTGGCCGACTGTTCTTCACAAGCCATTTCCTGATACTCATATTAGGCTTTGCCAATGTGGGAGCTATGTTTAAAGATTAAAAAATAGTCTCGACGCAGATTCAAACCCAAGACTTTGAAACAAAAGACAATCGTGTAGCCAATGCTCTACCGTGTCTTTCAACATGTGAAGTGTTCTACACTGTGTATCTTTGAGAGTGCAACATTACCAACCTTAAACAACTCCTGCGCTTCTTTCTTTGCCAGACCTACATCTGGTTCTAGTGTTTCTTCTCTAGCTCCTGTCAGCAAGGAGCTCAGATAAGGTTTGATGTCTTCGTTTGTGTGTGCATGAACATCTCGCTCCAAATCTCTCTTGTAAGCTGGGGACCAAGTCAGTAGGTATGTGCTTTATTTAACAGCATGGGGCCCAGACTCCACATAGCCGGGGTGTGGGGGGGGGGCGGCGAACAATTTGATTGTTGCAGGAGGACATCTGATTGTTTGAAGCGGCTGGGGGAAGGGGGTGGGGTGGGGGGGGGGGGAGGAAATTCGAAAATGGACTCATTCTACATGGGGGGGGGGGGCCTAAGTTAATGAGACAGGCGTATGTGGGGCAATGGCACACACACAAACACACAAACACACACACACATACACACACACACACATACACACACACAAAGTTCGGAAACACCGATGTAACATGTTCCAGATGATTCATCTGATTACATTTAGGGGGGGGGGTTAGGGTTATGTCATAATGTCTGGGCCGTATTGAAGCATGGGCACGTTTGGCACATGCCAGGGTGCCCTACGAGCATAGGCGCCCTTTGCTAATCTGTGTGTGTAAAGTGGCTTGCCGTAAATAAAAATATGTTTGAGTGTTCAATGAAATCTATACAATACACAATCGACATTCTCTCTCTCTCTCTCTCTCTCTCTCTCTCTCTCTCTCTCTCTCTCTCTCTCTCTCTCTCTCTCTCTCTCTCTCTCTCTCTCTCTCTCTCTCTCTCTCTCTCTCTCTCTCTCTCTCTCTTTCTCTTCTGTATGGACTGTATCTTGAGTTTCATTACAATCTTTTCTCACGGAGAAAAGAATCCAATAAACTTTGTTGTATATTTTTCCTAATGAGAATAAAATCCCACTATCAAACTGACGAGGTCATACGATAATGCATTAGAGCACATACTGCAGTACTGCCCTTACCTCTCCCAGCAAAGACTGTGGATCTGGCCTAGGGGATCCACATTGCGAGAGAAGCTATGTGGGACCGATGGTGACCTTAAACGCGCAATCCAATTTGTGACCCGGACGGGACTCAATGTTTAGCATGACTGATGTCGAACGCAGAAGAAGAAGAATACGATAATGTCTCACATATTTCTTGACGATAGACTTGTTGGCCTGTGTCAGATCAAACCTGATCTTGTTTGCAGTAGAAGCAGCAGAGGGTTGTCTACAGTTTATACATTTCTTCGGCATTTGTCAGCATCTAGCGTCGGCATAATAAGAAGTTTATAGTGATTTTAGCTTGTGCCATCTTCTTCTTCTTTGCGTTCTGTGTCGTCTCCTCAGGTCAGACTGTGGAGTGGGCTGCCTCTATGAACCAGCTTATCAGCTGCATGTCAGACTGTCGAGTGGGCTGCCTCTATGAACCAGCTTATCAGCTGCATGTCAGACTGTCGAGTGGGCTGCCTCTATAAACCAGCTTATCAGCTGCATGTCAGACTGTCGAGTGGGCTGCCTCTATGAACCAGCTTATCAGCTGCAGGTCAGACTGTCGAGTGGGCTGCCTCTATGAACCAGCTTATCAGCTGCATGTCAGACTGTCGAGTGGGCTGCCTCTATGAACCAGCTTATCAGCTGCATGTCAGACTGTCGAGTGGGCTGCCTCTATGAACCAGCTTATCAGCTGCAGGTCCTTTATGCTTCTCCGCAGCTTGCTTTTTTTTTTTTTAATTTTTTTATTATTATTATTAATTTGTAGGTAGAGTGGTCATACCTGCAGAATGTGCTCTTGTTTTTGTAGTCCCCTCTGACACGCACTGTGTTAACTGTGCAGACTTTATTTTTTGTATCTGGTAGTTGCGCCTGCAGTGTCCCGTTCTTAGACGACAAATTGTTGTGTAGTGTCTCTTGCTGTGTCTTCTAAGGGGGTTTTGTGGATGTTTACTGTTATTTTAGAGCTTGTTCTCTCCACCATCCCTTCTATTTTCCCTTGATCAGTCTTTTGATTTCTGATAGTGACAATGAATGGGTGTGTTATTTCTCGTTTGGTCCATTTTTTGTACCATCTAATCTGTGTTTATGGTTTGACACCAGTTTAGTGGCTGTCGTAGGGGCCCCAGCACACTGATTTTTCCAGGGGCCATAATGCTGTTGACAGGACCCTGCACAACGTCACATTTATATGGTTAATAGACAAGTGCAAAGTAGTAGTATAAAAAGACGACAGTCGGGCTATCGTCATCGTCATCGTCATACCCAGCGTAGACCATTTCTTGTTTCAACCCCCCCCCCCCTTTTTTTCACCCTCCCCCCCCCCTTTCCACACACACATATATATTATGTTTTTAGAAACACACACAGTTTTGCCATTTTGTGACCTCCTTAGTGATGAAGGTCTCCAACACCAAGGGTAGTAACATTCCTCAATGCCATGACAAAAGGTTGTCAAGAATTATCTCACGTTGTCTTCTCGTATACATTTTTCCACTAATCTTTCCGGTGGTCACATATTCTAGTTTCCCTCTTCTCCTCTCATTGTCAGACATGATGATAGACTCCTTCTAGCGTTTGTGGTCAGATTTCTTTGGATCATCGTACCATTTGCAATTCCTATTTATTAATTTTTAGCGTCCAAGGAATTTGAAGTATTTTTCTTTAAAACCACAACTCTAAGGCTCAAAAAATTATTTGTCCAAACTAAATGTCCAGGTTTTGCACAAATTTGTTAAAACTGCCTTTCTTTATATAGCAAGTGAAAAAGCATTTTTCTAACCTCCCATCATTTTTTTTATCTGTCTCATTCTGGTTTTTATCTCTTCAATTCTTGTATCTCATGTTATCCATACGCCTAGATACACTAGTTCCAAAATAAGTCCAGTGACATTAATTATACATTCATGCAGTCGTTTTCTGTTATATTATCATTACTTCTGACCTCCGCTGGTTTAAAACGGTGATCAGTGAGCTGACATGGACAAGACTTAGACAAGAACAATCGTGTCAGCCTTCGTGGAGCCTGGAGCAGACGCCTGATCATCATCATCATCATAAACCACTTCTACCGCTAAGCGTCGTGGGGAGGAATAATTTGCGATACAGTGCACGTTGGCTGCCACTGGCTATTGTCATGCCGTAAAGGCGTAGAGTGTCTTTAATGTTGTCGATCCATGTTTTCCGTGGCCGTCCTCTTGCTCTTGTAGCTGATCTTCTGAGATGTAGTGCTTGTGATAGTATTTGATCTTGTTGCATTCTAACGAGATGGCCAAACCACTAGATCTGCTCTTTCTCGATGAATATAGTACAAGGTGTCGTTCCCACAGTTTGCCTGATAGTTTCATTATAAATGCGATCTCTGATGGTTAGGTTGGCTGCTTTTCTCAGGCACCTCATCTCGCAGGTGGTGATTTTGCGTATATGGGCTTTAGATAGTGTCCATGTCTGGCACTGGTAGCTTAATGTTGGAATGAATATGCTATTAATAATCTGTCTCTTTGCACTCATAGTTAAGCTCGGATGTCTTAGTAATGGTGACAATTGGTATATAAGTGCACTTGCTTTCTGACATCTGGTTTCTATTTCTCTGTCAGTTATCATTTTGTTCTATTCCCAAGGTCAAGGTTATGGGAAATTTTCAAGACGATTGATAACTCATATGGTGCCCCGTCCTTTGTGATGCCACAAGCATGTGCTTTGTGTGCGCAATGGTTCACCCTACCTCGACGACTGTGATATAGGTCACCGTCTAACTGACATAATAAATGTGAAGGCTCTAGCTACAAGAACACATCTCACTGTAGACAGTTGTAATTGAAATGAGTGATGATTTAGTTGTATGGTTTAGTGTCAAGAGCTACAAGAAATAACTGGGGGTTTTAGTAAAACCTAATGGTCGACGTTTAGGGCAGAAGAGCCACAACCACATCATCCAGCTTAAGAATAGAGGTGGAGGCGGTCACTGCAACTTTCCGCTGGCTAGAGAACACAATAAAAAAAACTACTGTGACTGTAAATAACTGAGAAAGCATGCCGAAAGTGAGGACAGGCATTTTTCGTGCTGAGTGGCATCGAAGCGATTCACATGTCACGGGTGACACAGATTGATGATTTCTCCGGGATATGCCGACGTTTTTGGAAATGAACCGGCATAACTCAAGACGGATATATAATCAGACTGCTACTGGCACTACTGGTATTAGGACTCTGCACTGGCTGCTGAAGTTGGGGACGGAGCGCTTATGGAATTGTCCGAGTGCTGTGATTCTTGAATCAGCTCAGCTCAGCTCAAATCAGTTAAAATGAAGGGATGAAACGATTAACTGGAAAAGGAACAATGGTGACAGTCTGTGCGGAAAACATGACCAAACTGAATATGGTACCCGGTGCATAATGTATTGTTCTTAAGTCCCTTTGTCTCATCTTATTACTTTAACACAGTTTGTCTCATTCTGCTATGTTTATCCAATAGGGTAGCTTTAAGCAGCAGCGACTTGGAATAAAACGTTCATGCTATGTTCAAAAGCAAATAAGATAAAATAACCAACTATGTTCCACACCGTAGAATGAACTGGCAATAACAACTAAAAACAACTGTAACTTTCTATGGGTAACAAACAGAAGGTGTAAACTAATGCACACACTTACTTGTCTTGAAAAATTTGCAAATTGTAGCAATCTCTTCATTGCTTCTTGTGGATACAATCTCAATCAAAGCATCCTCGTCTGTGGTGGCGCCCTAAAAACAAACATAACCACAAATAGACGACCTTTTGACTGTTACAAGTCACACTTCATGAAATATTGAATCAGGTGATGAGCCATAAACCTTCACTTGTGTTTTCATCTTGAGATGGTAAGCTTTCATAGCTATGAAAAAGTAAAGTAAAGATCCCCTTTCACGCCTTTAGGTGCATTGGGCACATAGGAAGAGCATACATTATTTTACAGACCAATCGGCACTAGGTGGGTAATGTGATCAGCATCACGCCGGTCGTCTTTACTTCCCCACATCCCAGTACCCGTTTAAGACTGGGTCGACCTGCGACGCCCCATACTATGATTAAAAATCCACGTTTCAGGCAGTGGGTTTCTATCGCAGTACGTTGGAATTACGAGTCGGACTTGCAACACCTTAGCGACTTACGCCGCCTTTGATGGATATGTAAGTAAAGTAAAAGAGACTTTTCCACGCCTTTATGCGTATTACGCGCATTGGGCTAGACTTATATTTTATAAACCGATTCGCACTTGGTGGGTGATGTAGTCAGAATCAAGCTGTTCCAGCTACTTTACCTGGTACTCATTTAAGACTGGGTCGACTTGGAGCCTAGGTAGTTTTGTTTTTTTCAAGTCCGGCTCCGATTGTTAGCTATATGGGACAAGTTATGGGACAAGTTATGGAACAAGTTATGGGACAAGTTATAGGCTAAGTATAAAGAACATTTTAAGCTTTACAATAATGATGCTTGTAGCAATGCTGATGGTACAGTAGGAGACTTGCAGGCAGGCATAGGTTATAGACCGACTGAGACACAAACCTGTTACCTAGTAGGTAACTGGAGACAGCAAAAAGCTTACCTTAATAGAGTCTCTAAACGATCAAAAGCGTGCCTTATCAATTATATGTGGTTGCAACCACAACACCTGTTCTCCAAGAAAAGCCACTTTGTCATAGGATTTGAACCCCACTCATAACGAGTGGATACGGCGTACTCTAACAGGTAACACGTAGGCACGAATATATATACTTAGCTACACATACTGTAATTAGATACTTATTCTTTTCAACCCTGGTCAAATGTTTGTGTAATATCACAGTGACCTACACAAGTCTGCTGCCTGATGCACACATACCCCCCCCCCCTTTTCCTTGAGGATAAAAAACACCTTGGTAGCTTAATTACAGATAAATACAGACGACCCTGTGGTGAGATAACTTACATAAATACACCTTGGCTGCTTAATTACAGATAAATACATACGATCCTGTGGTGAGATACCTTTATAAAAACACCTTGGTAGCTTAATTACAGATAAATACATACGATCCTGTGGTGAGATACCTTTATAAAAACACCTTGGTAGCTTAATTACAGATAAATACAGACGACCCTGTGGTAAGATAACTTTCATAAAAACACCTTGGTTGTTTAATTATCCATAAACAGAAACGACTCATGACTCTGTACACTCATGACAAGTTGATAGTTACCAAGTTACGAATAGACAAAGACCGGATTGCTATTAAATAAAATATTCTCTAGGCACAGAGAAAACAATGAGTTCTTACAAATTGTCACTTTACAATTGTAGATCTAAGTTGAAAAAAAAATCAAAGCCAGATAAGATAATTGGTAGAAATTAAAAACGACAGATTGGCGCCTTCTCAATGACGTAATGAGGCTGTCCTGATACTGTTTAGGTCGGGAACTTCTTTTTCCAGGACAGTTGAATTCCAGGTTTATTTTAGAAACTGTAGCCGGTCCAGTTCTCGAGCCAGGAAAAGACAGACCGTTTGAAAATTACTGTAAAGAAAGATGCTAACTAGTCTTAGAGCTGTATACAGTATGCTTGGCAGGCTACACAGTAACTCATTTGAGAAATGAGAAAAACTGCAGGAAAAAATACAGCTGTCCAACCTACGCTGTTGCCGATTTCGACATGCTTGAAGGAAGTCATATGAGAAGGACAACATAACAATATTATATCACTTATATTAAGCTTTTGCAAGTCGGGATGTGCGACATTTTTAATGTGTTATTATTGTGTAAGAAATAGTTTAGTTTGAGGTATGATCCGCTAGTGACGGATCAACAGATCCCAAGGATCCGGTTGTCATCATTGTCTTGTATAATATTTCATAGCTGAAATTACAACTACCAAGTAACATACCTGATCAAAAACCAGGTTACCGGACGCCTGGTTAAAGCTCATGTTCAACAACTGAGACTCTGTGATCTGACTGAAGAAAAACTTCCAGAAGAGCATACAGACAAGAGAGACTACAACAAGAAAATGATGAAACAGCGGAACTATTTTAGTCTGATGATCAAGACACTGAATCAAAGTCTGATGATCAAGACACTGAATCACGTGACAATCAAACAATTGAGAATCCCGAGGATGCTGATAATGAAATGGAAGATACAAAAGCAACTAAAAGAAACTAGAGACTATGCTATCGAACAAGATGAAGAAGAAGAGGAGCCCAGAGTCAAAATAAAATAATTAAAACAATAAGGAGTCAAAATAGCTGCTGAGAGAATTAATACAATCAGAGACTCGGAGATAGATGCAGAGACGAGCTGATCAGAACTAAAGTCAAATCATTACTGAATCATGAACATATAATAGGTAAAGTCAAGCCTAGCAAAAAGTGAAACTCCAGGAGAAAACGTTATGCAATCAATCGAAACCCAGCTGTTAATACAAACGCTGGTACAGCAAAAAAAAATAGTTTAAATCATAAGCATAATTTTAAAGATGCTGCAACTTATGGAATAATAATAGTTATGTTCATGAGTTGACTTATTGACATTATTTTCTGTGTGTGCAGTGAGTTGGTATATTGAAATTATACAGATGACGAACCAGATGATCAAGATAGTGACATTAATTAGTATTGTAGTAGTATCTGACAATCTGACGGCACAAACGCAAGACATTATTATCATGAATTAAAAAGTAGAGATTCATAAAAAAATCAGAGTTGTTCAACGTAAAAGCTTATTGGAACTTAGTTATCTTCTTCTTCTTTTTCTTCTTCGCGTTCACCGGCTGTAAACTCCGGCGGAAAGTTATAGTTGTTTGTCCACTTCTGGACTGCAGTCCTGTTCCAGAACCTGAGTGTTGCGTGTGCATCCGTTTAACAGATCTGTATGCAGACTGTTGGTTCCTTTCCTCTCAGGCAGATGCACTCCGACTTCGAAGGAAGCTCCCAATTAGTCGACTCTTACGACACGCTTTTGGGTAGGCAGTGGGTCTATTCTTGTTTTTCCCATAGTAGGGCCACAGAACCCACACGGGGAACTTAGTTATAATAATACAGATTCAACCTTATGAAGCAGCACTAAAGATGAAGATCATTTTCAACAATTAGACGCCTACGTCAAAAATGTTGAAACACACAAACAAAGACTGCAAACTGTGCGTGGAGCCTTTCAAGATTCTGAGACAATAAATAAAGATTTTAGAAGAATTTGTGAATTCCTTGATGATTTGTCTGAGAAAAATTAAAAACCCTGATAGAAAAAAAGGGATCTATATTAACTTTCATTGGTGATGCGTTCGGGTGCATATTTGGTGGTTCTTATCTCAATGAAGTTAAAAATAATATTCGAATACTTTCCATCAATCAGGGAAGAATAAGACACATCATTGAAAAGACATTAACATTAATGAATGTGACAATGTAAGAAGTACAAGAAAACCGAGACCAGATTAGCATATTAAGATATCATCTGTCCTGAAGTACACCAACGGAACAGTTAGCGGTGAATTCACCAGAACATATTTGAAGATCTTCATTGCAGTGGTAAAATGGAGAAACACATTGGACAGTGTAACAGATGCTACACACAGATTTATTCAAACACGGAATTAATTAAAGTCGGAAAAGTCTAGCCTAATTTCGGTTTGGAAAGCAATTTAAAAGAATTGTTGACAAACGTACAACAAATTATAAAAGACAATAGCATTGAAATTGGAAGCAACTTGATGAACTATTGAAAGTTCCTTAAATGTGACGCTGTATTAGTTAAGGATCGATATATTGTCATAGGTGGGGGGGGGGGGGGGGGGGGGGGACCTAATAGACAAAAAAAAATCAGGGTTGGTCTGTATGTGGTGAACAACATACCAGTACCACGTGACATTCAGTCTATATCAAAATCTATGGAGAAAATACCAATGGCCAGATATCTATCGGCTCTTTCTTTTTGTACTCCACCAGGACATCACACAAGCGATAAGAACCCGATGACACAAAGTGCCACTATGTGGGTGAGGATCACAGTGGGGGTGTCCCGGAAACTGCGTTTAGCCACTAGGCCATATTTATGGCCGGGCTATATTGCGGCCGCTGGCAAGAGCCAGTGTGGGGCTATAAATAACGAAAAATTGCCTCCCCAGAGGGGATGACCAGTTATAAAGTAACACGTAGTGAATAATTTTTTGTTGCAGAGAAGGATTTCAATATCCTGTGTTACCATTTCCTGGACTGGAACTGTTATTATGTGTTTAGAATTTCCTAAAGTTTGAGTTATTGATATAGCACTCTATTTATTACTGTGAATATATTGATGACCATGAAATGATTAAAATGCGTGTCGTTATAAGCTTTTTTCTACAAGAGTGGTTTGAATTAAATTAGAGATCATACAAATAGTGCGGCTAGCACTTACTATAGGCGACAGTTCTATCGAAGTTGGAGTTAAAGAAACGAGCATACAGAACAGTGCAAGTAACAGTTCATAAAACTAATAGTGTGATTTTCGTTTTTTTGCTTTCTGCTTTTGGTGTTTGCAGTATATCGCATTATTATCAAATATAATGTTTAGTGTTAATTATTACATCAGTGGATTTTGAATTACTAACTAAGCTAATTTGGCTAAAGTGACAAAATGAAGTTCTATGTCATGAATAATGAAGCTAGTTGTGATTTTATTTTAAACCTGAATATAATTTTCAGAAATAACGTATGTACTGACAATTATGTTTGAATTATTATTCCTTTAA